GGGTTAGGAGGAGGCTCAACCACATCTGCTTACGGCAGGGCTTTTTGCCGCTCCGCTTGCTTGCAGTTGCTGCCGGGGGAAGAGAGGCTTTGGGACGAACTGGGCTGTGGGGCTGGTGAATCATCCCGGGCGAGCTCTGAAGCAGCCAGCGAGCTTTTCCCGAGCCTTTGTGTTGACAAGAACATTGTGCTGACAAAACAGCCCATTTTCCCCAGTCTAACCTCCTCCTTATCAGCCATTCGTTACAGGAGTGTTGGCTGACACTGGATGGTGGCAGACGCAGATTATTAAGCTGTTGACAGAAAGCTCATCCACTTTGAACAGTTATCATCGCGGGGAGCATCCACCACGCAGCCTGCTCCTGACAGGCTCTCTCATCAGCCAGATGCCATGTGTCGGGGAGCCTCCTTGAGGCGCACGCCCCCATTCTCCCTCTTGGCGTATTCAGATGAGTTTCCCCCAGCAGTGTCACGGTTGATTAGCCCCGCAGATCGCTTCACGATCACAAATAGACATGGGGGTGCTTCTTACCTGGCCCCCGGATGGGATGTCTCTGCAAGGAAATAGGTACGGGGGTAAGGAGGGGATTCATTTGGGCAAATGATGCAGCAGTGGCTGTTCTGATGAAGAAGGAGGCTAAGGAGAAGCGCTGGATCGTGCCTTCCTGGGCAGGGGAAAGCCACTGGGCTTCTCAGCTAGACCTTCATTAATTTGCTGATTTTCCTACTGACTGCAGCAAGTGGCTGAAAGCCGTGCCAAAAGGAGGGATTAGAAAGCCAAAACACAGTTTGGTGCTTTTCTTCTGAGCTCAGTAAACCCATTCCCTCTTCGGGAGGGTGCTCAGCAGCAGCAGGTTTAGTGCCGGGCTGTGCCCAGTTTTACCCCACGAGAAGAGTAGAAAGAAAAGGGGTGGGAAGGGCAGGAAGGAGCAGGGAAGGAGGAAGCCTTGGGTGAATTTTCCTCCTGCTCTGCCCGCCAGAGCTCAGTGCTCCCTCCCTGTTGCTCTGCCATCCGAGCAGCTCAGCCTCGCGTCGCAAGGAAGCAGCGAGAGCACCCCAAGCCAGCGCTGGAAAACTCAAGATTTCACTTTGATGTCTGCCTGAAAGATGAAAAGTCTTAATCAAAGCCAAGAGCATGTAAAACAGCAGACTCTAAAATAATTGGGCACTCCGGCCTTCTGAGGCAAGTGCAAATAGGAGGATTATTGTGGCATGGGTAGTCAAACATGCCTAAGCTTTAATCCAAGCGGACTCAGACTCCCGCCTGCCCCGGGATCGTGCTGCTCTCTGCTCCTTCCCTTCTGGCTGGATTAAAGCTGCCGTGGGCAGAGCCGCCAGGCTTGGCCGGCACTTTGCTTGCGAGCCTCCAAGAGTGGCTGCTTTTATGTAGGGGATTTGTGCACCCGGGGAGGCTGAGTCCTTTGCTTCATTTCCCCGCGCTAAAGGGTTTCGTACGGCGTCAGCCTGCGAGGCTGAAGAAGGCTTTTAAGAGGTTTTAAATTGGTCAGCGCTGGTGGGAAGGGGACAGGAATGGCTTCACAAGAGGATCGTCTTCCTGAGGCTCTCAGGACAAAGGTGGCTGACATGCCAGGGGACCAGGGACAACCGTGACCTCCAGATGGGCCAGACCAGAGCAAGGGGCTGCAGAAACCAAGAGGAGTGGGGAGGAAGGGGCTCACTGCAGGCTGGGATCCAGCTGGGATCCACTGGGATCCAGTGATGTGATGCAGATGGCCAGACAGGGGTGCAGAAGCAGCGCCCAGACCCCATCTTGTGCCACGGTTTGTACAGGAGGAGGAGGATCGTCTTTAAGAATGGAGAGGACATGAGACACAATGTTCTTGCTCAATGTTGTAAACAGCCCTAAAGTGTTTTGAAAGACTCTGTCAATATAAATTACCGAGAAACAAGACGCTGGAATTGCAAAAGAGGAACCCAGCTGGAGAAAGGCTGCTCGCAGAGAGCCTCGCTGCCGTCCACCTCCAACACTCAGCGGGCTCCACGCCGCGCTCCTCTGCCCTCATGCATTCCTCTCTATTCTTCCCCCTCTCGCATGGAGGAGATGCTTCAAGTGCTCTGTGCAAGATAAGTGCATTAAAACCTCCTTCAGCCCCAGCCTCTGCAGCCGTGCGAGCGGAGAGAATTTACCAGCAGAGCTCTCAGCATGGCATTTTTCGGATGGAAAGGTTTCGGGGTAATTCCTTGTGCAAGCCCCCCACATGTGTGCACCACCAGGGTGCGGGTCTGCAGCGCATCCTGGAGCTCGGCATTCTCCACAGGGAGAATGTGAACTTCAGCAATTGCCAGGGAGCAGCTGCTGTGCCTCAAATTCACACCCTGCTTTACCTCGTTTTAATTTCCTCATGTCCTGCCGGGACCACGGCCAGCCCCCTGTGAGAAACCTCCCTGTCGGCCACGGCAGAGCTCGCCGGGCTCAGCCCAAGGTAGCTGAAAGCCCAGGTGTTAATGCTGGAGAAAAATGAAAATAAAAGTCAGAGCAATGCCGTGCTTTCATTTGCACCCTGGAGGCATTGCCTGCATTGATCTGAGCTCGCAGAAAGGTTGCTGTGCGCTCCCCAGGAGCTTCAGATGGCAGTGATGGGAGAAGGGCCTGTGCCAGTGCACTCTCACCCACACAGGCAGTGCTTTGGTGAGGGCTGGAGCCAAAAGTCCCCCTTTTTGGAGTGTGTCAACCCTCTCCCAAAGACATCAGGTGAAAAACCTCTTGCAGGGGATATCAGTGCGGTGAGCGCCCAGCCCAGCCCCAGCACCAACCCTCCTCCCATGGGGCTCTGGTGGTAAATCTCAGGAGGATTTCCACAACACTGGGGGGAATCACAAACTTCAAAACCTTCCTCCTTGCCGATTAAAGTGCCATCACCACCACCGCCTGCGCGTGGCGATGCTTCAAAGCCCTGGGATTTCCCCCAGCCCCGAGTTTAGGCAGCTACATGAAGGAACCGGAGCGGCTCCATCCCCTGCTGAAACACCAACACGGCCGGGATGGCAGGGAGCCAAAGCGGAGAGATAATATTTTCCTTAGATATTAGCCCGCTACGAAATCAGAGCAGAAGTATACTCAAAGAAAGTCTTGACGGGTACTAATGAGGGTTTCAGGTGGGCTTTTAAAATTTAACTAGAAAGCTGGGAAAATGATGAATTCTCCCGATGATTAAAGGAGCCTCAGCACCGGTAGGCAGCGCATTTCAGGAGGGTTTTGCTGTGATCTCTGCTGCTGCCGACTCTGAGGGAGGCTCCAGGAGAGCGAGCTGTGGTGCCCTGAGCTCTCAGCTCCTCCAGCTGCAACCAAGGCCACGAGTGGGGTCTTCATGGGACACAGCAGGCAGGATTATCCAGCAGAGCTGCTGATACAAGTGTTCCTGCAGCTCAAAGCTGGCTGAAGCTGCAGGGCTTTGGGGCACAGATGGAGCCTCTCCAAGAAGAAGGCTCAAACCCAACCCAGGGCGCACACAAGGACTGGAGAGGTCCTCTCCACATGCATACTGCTGTCACCACCATCTCCACCTGTTTTGGTGCTAAAAAAAACCTCGCCAGGCATCCCGGAGCAGGGCAGGGGCTACAGCCTGACCTGTGAATGTGGGGCTAGGGGTGGAAAAAGGGGAACAGAGAGAAATTGCTCAGCTTTGCCTCCACCCAGCACCGCTCCCGGCAGCGGCACGAAGGAGGCATCGCTCCGCCGCGAGCCCGCGAGGAGCGTTTTGGCTGACGTCTCTGCCTGTCAGCATTCAGAAATATGAGACGATGGACGGCTCGCAGGAGCAGAACTAACAAGCCAACAAATCAGGCCGCTGCCATCTCCTCCGCCCCTCTCTGTCTGGTTCAATAACAGCCGATGGGGGAGGCTCCGCGAGCCGCTGAATGGCTCGATAACCAGGAGCCAAAAACATTCAAAACCACACGTCTAAATTAATTCATCCCAAAGCATCCGCAGACAGCGAAGGGTGGGGGGGGGGGGGAGTGGAGAGGGAGGAGGTGGAGGAAAAGAAATAGAAGAGGGAGAAACGACTTGGCCTCCTTTCAAGCCCTTTCTAAAAATGCTGAAAGAGTTTGGCAATACTAATGAAAACCCGGCACAGCAGTTGCCCTAATTTCTCCAAGTACCATCACAGAGACACGGGATGGCTGTGGCATGTAAAACCAGGGCGGAAAAGGATGAGGAAAGGGTTCAGATGTCAAAATGACAGCGGCAGGATGGCGGGACAGAGCCGGGGCCACTGAGCTCCGTTTCTGCTCCCCCGGTGCTCACCCCAAGCCCCCTCCTGGGGCTTCTCCAGTTGTGCTGCAGGCTCCTGGAGCTGGCCCCTGGCCACCTGCACGTCCCAGCCGGGCACCTCAGGAACAGCAGAGCTGGATTTTAGTGTAGTTTAAAGGAAGCGGACGAGGTAATGCTGTCTGCTGGAATGAAATTCAACAGAGCCTCGGAGAGACGCATGCGAGCATAAAAGCAAGGCGTTAGTATGCAGAGCGAGGGAGCCCAGCAGCCAGGCAGGCTGCTTGCCTGTAATGCAGCACGGGGAGCATTTTTTCCTTGAGGAGCATGAAATCCAGGCAGGAGAGAAGTTGGAGAGCTCGCCAGCTCGGCCTTCGAGAGCTCTCCCAAGGAGGTGAGGGCTGAGGAGGCTCGGTGGGCACTGCTTTCAGGAGTGCCTTTGTTTGGGGCTCAATGTCTACAATCAAATGACAAAATATCATCACTCCAGAGCAGTGCTGGAGGCAAGCTAAGTGGTCATGGTCATCATGGCCAAGGTGGGATGCGTTGGGTTATTATCTTGGAAGCTGGCTTCATCAGTTGGATACCCCTGGGTATCCGGTCCCTCAAGAATTTCAAGCTCAGTAGCTTCATAATTTAGGTTTCCAAAATGAAGCATGAGATTAATTTAAACAGGAATTGAGATGACTCCATTCCCACAGCTGTGGGCTCAGGCTGCTGGCCCTCCTGGCTGCTGAGTGGTGACACTTGTAGGGCAGCGCTGGACCCAGGTCGGTGCTCGGGGTGGCTCATTTCTAAAGCTAGCACTGCTGTGAGCAGCCCAACATTTCAGGGCTGCAGCCCATCAAACCAGCAGAACAACCAAGGTCAAGAGCATTTTTTGAGTCATCCCGCCGAGCCTTACAGTGATATATATAAATAATTGTACAGGCTAAAGCTAACGACCGAATGCAAACACTCCCACTGCTGCAGAACTTGGTGACATTCAGCCAAAAGGTCAGTTTTCTCACGTTGGTATTTGCATTCTCCATCTACATACATTAAAAGGAAAGCAAAGGAACTGAAAGAGGCAGATGAATGGCCTGGAAATGCTGACGGGTCTCTGGTTTCAATAGCCCCTTGCATTTTTTTTTTCCTCCCTTTAACTATTAAGGCCGAGCAACAAAACACCTCCCGGGGTGCTGGGGCTTTTTCCCTCTGACCAAGCGCCCCGTGGGCGAGGACAGCACAGCCCCATGGGGCCTCGAGCCCCCAGCAGAGCAGCTGGGAGGTGGAGGATGCTGTGGGAGACCTTGCCCTGCTCCAGCTGGAGCTGGTTCCCCAGGGAGATGCTGTGGGGTCTTGTAGGGGCCAAGAGCAAACAGTAGGATTGCTCCAGTGGAGCTGTTGTCACTGCAGAAAGAGGGATTGGGAAGAATGAAACAGCAAAATCAGGCTCTGTTAAGTTATGTAGTATTTTTAGGGAGCCCTAATCTCAGTAGTAGTTGAGGGTAATTGAAGCTTGCAGAGGGAAACTCCCAACTTTTGGGCAGGGGGGCACCGAATCCCCATCGACCCCAGGCTGGCTCTGGATGGGGTGAGGCAGGAACGGGGCTTTTCTGTCCTTCAGAGCTGATGTTTGTTATCCGGGGATCATGGGGACAAAGAGGTGTTAGGAAATCTCTCTGACTCATTCTTAAAACTTGCTCAATCCAAATGTCTGCGGCGTGTAACGTGCCGCGTTGGAGGGGTTTCTTCCTCAGAGCCCCATCCCGAGGGGAAACGGCTCCAGAAGTTTAAAGCTCCGGCTAATTATAGACGCACTGCCCTATTAGTCCCCAAGCGTGCATCAGCTGAACCTCGTTCCTCTGTGATGCAGGACATGGGAGACATCTGTAGGGCTGCAGATTGCCTGAGTCAGAGCATTTCTGCAGCCCGAGGCGTGCCGTACTGGATGGCTGCTCCTAGCGCAGTTTCTGCTGATGTCTGAGGCCTCTCAGAGTGCAGAATGCATCTTTTTGATCAGAAGGAAAAAGGCTGCAGCGTACACAAGCCTTAGGAGCCATGTCCTCGAGGTCTGGTGAAGGGATCAAAGTCAGATAACCTCCTCCTTGCTTCCCCGCTCAGGCAGCCACGCTGGCTTGTTGCACTGACTGTACATAATTTGAAGTCCTGGGCAGGATTTTAACCACTTCAGATGGTTTAAAAGGCAGCAAAGAGCTTCCAGAGCCAAACCTGGGGTGCAGACCGTGCAGTAACACAGCTCCTGGGTCCCACCTCTCCTGCTGGAGCTCCCCACGTGGCCCCAGAAACTCAGGGTGACACAAGAGGGAAAGATCTCACACGGGAGATGGTACAAGGTGAAAGAGGGGCTAGAGCAGACATTTTAGGAAAAACACTGGATCCGTGCAAGTCATCAGCACGAGGCAACCCCGTGCTGCTCAGATTTCTCCATACAGATGTCTCCAGGTGGGGCCAGGCCCAACTTCCAGGCAACGGGGCTACCCTGGAGTCCAAACGCTGATGCTTTCAGGGTTTTGGTGCCTGCAGGGTTACGTGCCATGTTAGCAGGGAGCTGAAGGGTGGCGATCTGGCAGCTCACAAGTGGCAAAGTCCCACGAGTCCCCTTTAACGCACTGAAGGTCTTTTTGCAGATCCAGGCCTGTGTTTGTGTCTGTTTAAAAATCAATAAAATAATACTGGGCTTATGGAGGGTGTTGTGACACTCCGAGGATGCGGCTGGAGTGTTTTTGAGTTCCTCCTCTGGAAAGAACTCTGCGAGGGCAAATTGAAATTGTTTTTAACCTTTTCCTGGGTGGTGCAAAGACCGGCTTCGCTTCAGCATCCGGCAGATTCAAGCTGAGATCAAGGGTTCCTTCTGCAAGGTAATAAAATTTAGGCAAAGGCCATGCTCAGAGAGATTTGTCACCCAAAAAAAAAAAAAAAGGAAGAAACAAACAAACAAAAGAGAAACAGTAAAAGCAGAAATCGTGAGCATCCTTCCAGAATGAGTGGGGGAACAGGGAAAGGGAACAAGCTGAAGCCAGACAAGAGGCTGGGATTTCACCTCTCCAGAGCATCCGTCCTGCAGCTGCTGATGCTCCTCGCGCTGTGGGAGATTGCATCAGCGCTGCGGCTGCATTACCTGCAGGGCATGCAGGCTAATTACCAGCCCCACACTCAGCAAATGGCTCTGCCTTGGAAAAGCGTTATCGACTGCATAAGAGTGCAGGAAAATGGCCCGATCTCTGCTAAGGTAACCTCCTTTTTCTAAATGGTTAATCTCCGACATTAGAGCTAGTGTGTTAAAGGAGGTTTAGGACAATTTAATAGCTCATAAAACTTTATGGTCCCAGTTGAAATTGGAGTGATAACTCTGGAGTGTAAAGCTATACTTTGCTAAATGTCTCCCTTAGATTTTTTATTTTATTTTATTATTGGAAACTTAACATCTGCTACAGCAAAATAAAACGGAACAATTTTCGCTGTTGAGAGACATGAGCATTCTGCTTCTCTTCGTTCTGTTTATATGTTTATTGCTTAAAACTTTGGCGTCGGTATTATCCTTGATTATTAAGACTTCAATCACTTAAAGGAAGGGAGAGATAAAATAATCCAAAACAGACCCATGTTCGATTTAACCTGTGAGCAGAACAGAAACCAAGAGGATACTAAATTGTAGTCATCAATATTGTCTGGAGCCCTTTCAAATTTCAATTTACTGATATGGTTCCTTGGCAAAATTTGGTTTGCAACTGTGCTGCATAAAGCAACATGCAAATCATCACGGAAAACGCAATGGAGAGGCTCTGGATGTGTCTGGCTGCCAACAGTCCCTGTTTTGGTACGAGGTGCAGCAGTGCCTCCGTCTCCCCAGGTGTCCAATGCTGATGAAGTTACTTGATCCTCCTCTTGCCAAGCACAGACCTGCAGCCAAAGGGCTCATCCTGGAGGTCAAGCATCATTATAGCACAGGGCAGTAACGCCAGGCTTCGTGAGCGCCCAGCTCTTCAGCAGAACTTCTTCCTGAGTGCTGGTGTCGTGGGGCTCTCTGATGCCCAGAGTAACGTCTTGTTTTCCCCCAGCAAGTCCCTATTTGCTACTCCTTCCGTATTCTTCCCAACACAAATCTCAGCTTGTATATTCTGGCCACATATTTAGGGGGAAAAATATGTCTCTAAAAGAGCCGCAGGAGAGCTGAGGCAGTGACTTACGATGCCGGATCAGGCAGAGCGTGAGCGGCGATGCGCGCGGACACGAAATGCCCACGTCAGCAAATGCAACACGGGGGCTCCCACCGGCTGCCTCTGGTCCCCAGGGCACAAGGAACAACCCTGGGGTTATTCAGGGGAGGAGGAGCTGGTTTAGCTTGGTTTGAGTCCCTGGCAGTGTGGCTGAGAGCCCGGAGGTCTGCTTTAAGCCTGGCTCTAGTTCGGTGCCCTTCCCTCAGCATCACCCCGTGCTTTATTACCAGGGGTCCTGCCTGTTACAATTCCTCGCTGCAATTTTGTGCATTTAATTGCCACTTGGAACATAATGAAACAGTTCTGACAGGAGCAGAGCAGCTTGTAGAGGCTTGAGAGGGCTCATCCCAAACCTGGCAAGCTCCAACCGCGGGCCGGACGCTGCGCTCCGTGGCGTGGGAGGAGAGGGCTGGGCGAGCCACTCGTCCTGAAGAGTCGGTTCCTCCGCTTCCCCTGGCCTGGTTTCCCAGGCAGATGGTGGCACGCACAGCTGTCCCCATTACTTTTAATGCCTCCCTGCATTTCTCCTCGCTCACAGAAGCACAGCTTCGGTGCCTTCCAGCTGCTCCGCGTGCGCAGGGCAGCTCCACGCTGGTGCTGGTCCGCGGTGATGCAGCGAACAGCAGGGCAGCACCCGAGGAGATAAAGCACCGCTGGTTAAGTTGTCCCCAGGGATCCCATCCCGAGCTTCAGTCCTGGCCTTTGCTGAAAGCCTCCCTCCTTCCACAAGATGTCATTTAGGCCGTTAAGGGATCTTCTGCGAGGAATAATGCCTCTCCCTTACACGTGGTCCCCTTAATTAGTAATTAGGATAATGCGATATTGAAAAGGAAAAAAAAAAAAAAAAAAAAAGCAAGGCACAAATTTAATTAGTTGTGTTTTATCGGAGTAACTGAGGAGAAGGCCCCTGGACTCCGCTGGAGGAAAGAGATCGATACGGAACATCTATTTTCACAGGAAAACAATCGCAGCTGACGGCTGTCCGCGGGGCGCGGGTGCCGTGATGGAGCTGCCGCCCGCCGCAGCCACCGCCGCCCACCAAAGGGGAAGGGGGAGAGCAGGGCCTGCTAAATAAATGATCGATATCTCCGGAGAGGATCTGTGTATCCTCAGATAGCGCTACGGAGCGGCTAATAGGAGCTGACACATAGCTATAGGGAGATGGCTTCCATTGCTCAATTAACTAATTATCTTTTAAGCCGTTCTGACTCAAATGGGAAATGATGGCGGAGGAGCGTGGCTCTTGCATCTCTGTCCTTTTTGGCAAGTTGCTCGCTCTGTTGGCCAAGCAAACCCCCTCCCACGGCCGCTGACTCGCCTGGTGTGCAGGAGCAGGTGGGGGTGCTGGGCGGCACGGCTGCACCACGGCACAACTACACCAGGGAACAACTACACCATGGAGCAGCTACACCATGGAGCAGCTACACCACGGCACAACCACACCACGGAACAACTACACCATGGAGCAGCTACACCATGGAGCGGCTACACCATGGCACAACCACACCACGGCACGGTGTGCACGCACAGCAGGAGCAGCCGCTTGCTTCTCCCGTGCCGTTCCCCCCCCTTCTCCCCGCCGCTGGGATGGAGTAACACATTTGTTGGCTCTTCCAGGCATCCTCATGGAGATATTGCAGGAAAGGCTTCCTTCTTGGCAGGGCTGCTGTGTGCACAAACTCGCCGTTATTTACGCGCTTGCTTCTTCCTATGAAAACGTCCCATCTGGGCACACTTAAAGCACTTTATCTCAGCGCCAGTGAGTCAGTAACAGGCATATCTTTGCATGGCTTATTAAAGCCGCCAGCCAGTTCCCAGTCCACCTTCTCCTCCCTCCACCTCTGTTCTGTAATTGTTAGCCTTTCCATATTTCATCGCACACCGAGAGCGGGGCCCTGCTGTGCTAGGAACTGTACAAATACGTGCTGAGATAAAGGGCCCGCATGTGGGCACTTGTAGCTCGGAAAGGAAGATAACAGCTGGGAGAAAAGAACAATTGTCCTGCTTTACAAGAGGGTGCCAGTGGCTAGCTGAAGGTTGCACGAGGTGGCCACCGCTCTGAGTGCCCCTTGCCAGAGGAGCCGAATTGGGGGAAAAATCCAAAACTCAGCAATGCTCTCTTGGAGTTCAGGACCTGACTCAAGCGAAGCCTGGCTTGAATGGAGGCCAGGCTTCAGGAAAAGCAGCTCAGCCCATCCTGGAAATCCCAGGCAATGCCACCTAGAGCAGGAGGAGGAGGAAGAAGAGGTGGAGGAGGCAGCCCCGAGCCGTGCACGGCACAAAGGGAACCACACTCTGAGCCCAGCCTCGCTGCTCCCGGTGTTTAATGCTCTCCAGCGCGATTTCGTCTATAGAGATCAGTCAGGCTTTGATAAGATCATAGCAGGAGGACAGGAGGAAATTGCAGTCTTGCCCAATGCTTGATCTTACGCTGCTGAACTTGCTGTATCTGGGATATTATAGCCCAGCCTTAATAGCATCATATTAAGCTGAGACAATGCAGCCCTGTGACCTTGCAGTGCTTGATAGCCATATGTGCTATTTTAATGAAAAATTGGGACTTAAGTAAATGGCCGCCTATCGGCAGAGGGCTGCTAACAGGATCTCGCTCCCGAGCTCGGGCTGAGGGGGAGGGCAGGGGAAGGGAATTGGGATGTAATGGCCATAATCAGCCCCCGGCCAGTGACCTTCCGCCTCCTCCCAGTGCGTCCCTGGTGCTCACAGGAAGCCAGAACCAGGGGGCTGGAGGCAGGGTGGGCATCTCCAGTCAGTGACGGACCCCAGAGGTGGCCAAGTGGCTGCTTCCACAGCACTGGGGTGCTTTAAGGCCACCAAAAACCCTTGCCCGTGCCAGCAGCCACCCGTGAGCAAGGAGCTGGTGCTGCCTCGCAGGCAGACACCCACCCCTGCAGCCGCACACGGGGGTTTCCTCCCCCAGCAAATTGAAACTGTAAATATTGATAGCCTTTTCTTCCAGGGCTTTTTAATGCCCTCTGATACTTAGAAACTATTAAGTGCACCCATCATCACTAACCTGCGAAGTAAATGCGTCCTAATGGGCAGGCGAGCTGCGCTCGCCCCAACAAATCATTTCTAATGAATAGCACCTGGCACATTCATCACCGTTAAATGCCAAAGCAAATCCATCTGCGTTAGCCGCTGAAAAGAGCCAGGCAGAGCTCGCGCTCCCCTTCTCTCCAAGGTAGGGGAGGGCTTGGCTCGCAGCGTGTACGTGTGGCTGTTTCTAATCTCTCCCCGTTCCTGCAGCCAGGATCCTCGAGGCACGCCGCTCAATAGCCGGGCTGCTCCCGCACACAATGGCCAGAGGTCTCTCCGAGCGCCGTGGAAGGTTTTAAATAGAAACCAGCGCCTCTCCCTCACACGCACACAATGCTTTCCTGACCCTCTCCTGACCTCACCCTCAAATCTGGGGTTCACAGCCCCAGCCTTGAACCCGGCTCTGTTTTTTCATGTTTGGCCTCTCTATTTCCTGAGGTCAGGCAGCCCACCGCTCCATTAGCATGAAGCAACTCAGGGCTCATTTGCCAAAACTGACATCCTGGGAAAGTCCTGATGAATTTATGAATTAGAGGCTACAGATGCCAGTAAAAGAATTAAGGACTTATTTATTTATTTTTTTTTATTATTTGCAGGAAATCAGCTGGGATGCTGCTGTTTTCTTTTTTTTTTTTTTCTGAAAAACGCCATCAGCCTTGAAACTGCAAAGGCTGCGTCAGCAGCAGTTTGCTTTCAGGGAGGAAAAAACACATTTTTAAGGGCTTGTTGTTTTGTTTTTGAAAGGAAGGGCCGGGGGAAGAAAGTTGAGCGGGTGGACGAGCGCGGGAGCCGGCGCGGCACAGCGGCCCGGCGGGGCGAGGTGCTCTCACCTTTCAGCACGTAGCGCTTGCAACGCTGCAGAGAGAAGAGGTAAAATTTATATCCCATAAATCACATGTCAAGTGCCTGCGAGGAGAGGTCATTAAACAGATGTATGAGGCAAGAGACAAAGTCCATCCATTTTGGGAGACGCTCCCGGTGTCAGCAGCACTCCAGGAGCCTCCAGAGGCAGGTACCCAAGCAGCACAAAAGAAGCTCCCCGGATAGTTTTATTTTATTTCCTCCCCGATTTATTTGATTGCTTTTTCTTTATTTAAATAACTTGCCGGGCTTTGCCCTGCCAGAGCTGCTGGACAGGGGTGAGAGCGGAGGGTAGCAGCACATCAAACAGCTCCGAAGCACGGGCGGATGGAGTGATGGATGGAGGCCGGCCCGCGATTAATAATCAAACCAGGAGCTTTTGCTGGGAGTCATGTGGAAAATGTGGCTTTGGAAACATTTGTCTTGGTCCCACAAACAACAAGTGGTGTTTCGCTCCCTTCCTTTGTTCCTCGCCCCCCCTTTCCTCCCTCCCCTCTCTGCCTCTTTTGGCTTTTCATGCCCAGATCCGCTGATTAAGATCTTCTCCATCCTTTACCTGCTCCAAGTGGCTCCTGAGCTGCTTTGATTTATGCTTTGCTTATCTCAGGCTTCAGTGGAAAAAATAACGACCAGATAATAAAGAGCACTGAGGAGCTTTTCAAATGACATGGCACCCGCTGCTCGGGCCGGGGCTGTGCAGGAACCTTGGCGAGGGACGTGGTGCTGGCCCTGGGCCTGAGCAGAGGAGGATGAAGCAGAGCAGCTCCACTCGCCCAGCGCCCACACTCCAGCATCACCTCTCCAGGCAAAGCTGGGCACCTTGAACAGCTCCTCCATGGGCTGAGTCAGCATTTGGCTTGGCAAATCCATGGAGAGGTTTGCCGAGGACTTTCTGCAGGGATGCAGTAGCTGCCAGTCCTCCCGGGGAGGTGATCAAAGCAGCGTCTCCACAATGCTCTGCCCTCCCTGAGCCCTGCTCCATCCTTCGGCTGGCCTGGGGTGCCCGAGCCCTGCAGCATCCCAATCCCAATGCTCCCATGGACCTTCAAGGGCTCCACACCTGTGGGGCTTCAGATTTGACTGTGGGGGTCAGATTTTACCGTAGGGTTGGGGACCTATTGGTTTCCCTGCGTTCTTTATTACAGCCTGCACAGGGACAGCACGTAGTTTCGCTCTTCCAGATCTCCCCAGCCTCTGCACCGCTGTCATCTGGTTAAAGAATTGCCATTAATTTTAGGGTAGGAAGGACCCATTGTTTACTACGCGATCAGGGAAAAGGGAAGGTTTTTGCTGCCAATAAACTATTTTTACCCGTAATGCAGATCCAGTATGGCCAGCGAGGTGGCCGCAGTGTGGGAACAGCAGGCTGTTTGCAGCCCAGGCTGCAGCACGGGGACATCAGCGACACCGCAGCTGGGACAGCAGCCAGTGCCAACCCAGGGAGGATTTTGGCACTGGCACAGCATGGAAGTGCTGCACGGAGGTGGCAGCAGGGCTGGGCACAGCCCTGGAGTGTAGGGGCAGAGCTGGGCAGGCAGCAGGAAGCAGGGGGGCAGCAGACCCCGATGTGCTGTGCACCATTTTCCACACCCCAGCGCTCGCTCGGTCCCGGAGGCAGCAGTAGCCAGCAGCCTCGTCCCTTCCAGGATGCATTTCCAACAAATCATCCCCCCAAACACGCTGCTCGGTTCGATTTAACAGGGAGAAGAGATGCAGCCCAGCGCAGGACCCGCAGCGTGAAATTATTGCAGGGGAGGGAGAGCAGAGGTCCCTCCTGGCTTTAAATAATCCTAAAAAATAGACGTCTCCGGATTGCCTCCTGGCTCCTTCCGACGACTGCGAGTTTGTCAGCAGGAGGAGGGATGGATGCCTGCTCATTTACCCCCATCCTCCGGCGGCGAGCCAGCAGTTTACACCTACGGCAGCAGCGGCGAGCTCTCCGCCGAGCGTGCGCTCCCCGCGCCGCGTGCTCTATAAATACGTGTGCATGACAGATTTGGCACCGCGTATTCCTGTAAGTGATGTAATCCTCGGGAAGTTACTTAGCAACCACGGAAAATGTTTTGGAGGCTCTAATTTTTCAGTATGGTAAAATCGTATATTTATGCAGTGCGGCTAATCAGCTTGCTGGCAAGTCAGCGACGATGATCTCATTTTCTTCATCATTATTTTATGTGAATTGGGCTTTTAGCACTAAAGAGACCACAAAGATTTAATTCAAAAATGTGATTGCTTTATGTTTCCAGGGTATCATTAACATGGCATCTACGCAAATAACCATGGTAACAAACTGGTAATTAGTACATATATGGCACTTATTATTAATACAGAAACAGGACAAGCTCCAAATCAGCGCAGATTACAGTACATTATTACCATAGTAATTACCTGCAGTAACACACACAAATTGAACTAAATGGCCAATTGAACTAGAGTGAATGGCTTTTTATTCCAGTCCCTAAATAATGTGCATTCTTGGCTGAGTAGTTCAAGGTAAATAAAACTGTTTTAAATTTATTGCCAACTTTTTTTTTTCCTTTGGTGGGGAAGGGCTGCAGATGGCAGGAGTCAAGAACTTTTTTTGCTGTGCATACAGTGTAATTATTGTACAGACTAAGCCGTTCCTAACTTCCATAGAAAGACAAAGAGGGCAAAAGTTGTTAGTTTCTATTTTACTAGCAGCTTTATTTCTGTAATTTCAGCCATGAAGTAATGTTCAATGTATCTAAAAGAGTCAATGCCAAAAAACGTAGGGCCCAAATTCAGTCTTTTGTTTTCTGCGCTTTTTTTGAGAGACAGAAAAAAAAGTATCTCTTTTTGGAGGAGGCTAGAAAAGTAAACTTTTTAAAAATAATCACATTGATGAAAATATGGAAAAAGGGGCTTTGACCTAACCCTTTCCCATAGTCTGAGGATTGACTGGAAAAGCACCGAACACGTGTGCCCAGAGCCAGAAGCCAAGTGCCCTGGCTGGAGCTGGCAGTGCCAGGATGAAGCCAACTGCTGAAAAAGGAGCAAAGCCCCTGACCATTTCTCACTCCCCACATTTCACAACATGGCACTGGGGCTCTGCTGCCTGCACGAGCCCAGGGGGAGCAGAAGCAGGAGCAGCAGCAGCAGGAGCACCCAGCCTGGATGGGAGCAGAGCATCCCGGAGCTCTCTGCCAGCGGCACGGCCGTGATGCCAGCCTGGCAAAACCAGCACCGTGCTCACTTGTTGGGCCTTGGCAGGTCTCATCCCCCTTGCTCGGCTGCAGGACGTGCTGCTGCCAGAGACACAGAAAATCCCCAGCTCCTGATCCCCCTGTAAGAAAATCCCCAGCTTCTGATCCCCCTGCACAAAGCAGGAACCGTCCTGCCATCGGGGCGCTGCCAGAGAGGAGCCCTCTCTGCTCCCCACCCGTGCCCTTTAAAGGTGAAAGCCATCTATCCACCCTAATCTTTACTTTCTAAATGAATATAACATTTATAGAGAGGCTTTCAAAGGCGATGTCTGCCTGACCTCTAGGGCTGCACTTTTGGCAGGGCGGGCGCGAGCGCTCGGCTGTGCCCAGGAACACGGGGCGTGCTGCGTGCGCTCCCCAGCAGCAGCTCCTGCAGGTGCACAGCTCGGGACCTCTCTTCTTTATTTTCCAGCTCTGCCTCCTAAAACGACTCCCCGGGGTTCTTAGTATGATGATGATCTTACCATTCTCTTCTTATTTGGAAGGGCTTCCTTGCCTCTGCAGTGTTTTTTCTGCCCAGAGGCCCGTTGAACAGCTTTTCAGAGCAAAGGAAGCGGCCCCAGCCCCACCAGACGAGGTGCCTCCCGTCCCCACAAGTGAGAGCAGAATTAAAACTGCCGTCATTCACAGACCTCCCCCCTTCCTTCTCTTTCCTCCAGACAAGCATTAATGTTTGCACGTGCTGCTGGGGACTCAGTGCTGCCTGGAGTGTGCGTTCAAGGTTTGTGTGGCGATGGGCAGCACGTGAGGGCTTCATCTGCCTTATTAACACCTCTGTGATGAGCAGACACAGGGGCCTGCACAACAGAAAGAGCGGAAACCCTTCCCCACCAGAGCCCTGCTTTACCTGCCCACCAGCCTTTATTTGTGCTCTTTATCTGCGCACTTCCAGCAGGCACAATGGAGAATCATTGTTCCTTTATCAGGCCCATCTTTCGTTGTACTTTACCTTTCTCAATTCATAAGAAAATTATTATTTTAGCAGGCGAGCATTTAATTATGTCTCACTGTATTTGCTTTGGCTCTCACAGCACGGAAAATCCACTCCTTTTAACAGCTATCCATTTAGTGTGGGTTCCGATAAAGCCAAATTGCCTGCAACTCAGTTTTATGCAACTCCATCTGCGTTCTCCATACAGCTCCCTCTCTCCGTCCAAATCCCAAACCCACCTAACATTGTTCCAGCGCCTGCCCGGCTGTGCCAAAGCCTACGTAACCCCCGCAGGCATGCAGCAGCAGCAGCAGCAGCAGCGCTTATCGGTGCTGCACCGAGCACCCGCCTGACTCACGGCTCCGAATTAACGCCCATCAGGGCTTATTTCCATAACGCTCCTCCTACGCGCCCGCAGCAGAGCAGCACCTGAGTTCAAAACAGGGTTTGAGCCTTGTTTTCATGCCAACTTTCTCCCAGTTTTGGCTCTCGGGGTGTTTTCGCTCAGGGGAGCCAAAAGCGTCGTGCGCCCCACGTGCGCCCCTGCGCAGGAGCAGGCGGTCAGCCCCTCGCAGCAGCACCAAGGAGGTGCTGTAATGCCCAGTTCCCTGGCACAAAAAATCCCACTTTCCCTTAAGGAACCCTGCAGGCCAGAGCAGGGCTTTATTTTCCCTTTCCCCCTCTCTTCTTGTTACTGTTTTGTTTTGCAGCAGTTGCCGCTGTTGCCATGCTATCGCCTTTTGTTGCTATGGATTAATATTGTTTTTTTACTTATTTTTATGTATGTCCTGGGAACATGATTGCTTAATTTGCCCTGCAGCTTTGTAGGCCTGTCAGGCATTTCCACATCGTCCCAGCGCTCACCTTATCTTAATCCAGTTCTGGGCTGCTTGCAGGGTAAATACCTGAATAAATGTTCACGGCAGGCCAGGGACCGGTATTTGCCCCAGTGAAGCAGGGGACAGGACAGACTGTTCCTGCTGTCTGCGCCGTGCCCACCCTGCTCGAATGGGGCTGGCTCCCACCTAACCCAGAATCACAGCTCAGAAGCTGCCCAGGCAATGAGCTACCAGACCTAGGCAGAGGGGTGGGCTCCAGATGTCTTGCCCGGACCCCAAAGCCCAAAGGGGACACATGCGAGGGCTTCATAAAACGCATTCCTTTATGTGATTGTAATGGGCAGCTCCATTTTGCTCCCGATTTATTGTCTCCGGAAAATCTTTGTCACTAGAGAGGAGCCAGGGGGCCCAGGGGAGCGTCTGAGCTGTGCCATGGAGAGGCTTTTGTCCTCAGTGTGCTGGAGCGAGGGCGTCGGGAAGAGGCAGGGATCGTTTTCAGGTGGTTTCAGGAGGTTTGTCTGCAAGCTGTGCAGCCTGAAGGCCTCCCCAATCTGCTGCACTGATAGGGCTGAAGTCCTGAGGCCGCTGGTTCGTGCCCCACCAGCCCCCAGGATGCCCTCCCGAGCATCCCCGTGGTGCTGCTTGCCACCAGCCCGTCCAAGAGAGGGCCTTGCAAAAGAAAACCACCAGAAACTTTGTGGTTTCATCGTGTTGTATAAGCGTGAGGCCACCAAGGGGGCACAGGAGGGATCTGCTCCAAGCCTGGCTCCATTGCATGCCCCTTTTGGGACAGCCTGCTTTATTATTTTAAGGCAGGCCATTATTGCTCTGTGTCTCCATCCTCCCCACAAAAAAATGGGGAAAACAGTCTATCCTTTTGTCCCACCACTGAAATCTTCAGGGAAGTGACTTTGTCCTACTATTATTTTCGCATTGGGCTCGCCACAGCGGCCACTACACCCTAATGCACTAATAAATATGGATGCGGGGCTTGGTCTCTTCCTTTCCGTAATTAATCTTCTCTCCATCCTTCTAGGTCATCTCGTGAGCAATGCGCAGACAAATATCCCCCTGGAGTCGTGAGCCGGCGGTTCCTCGGCTGCACACATCAAAGGGGAGCTGGTGACATCACGGAGATCACAGAAAACATCAAGTCTGGCTGTCTGGGGGAGAAAAAAATAGCTCCTCGCAGACCCACAGCTGGTGGGTTTTTTAATTACACCCGGGCCAAGGAACATTCCAACCATAACATCCTGCAGCCCGCCCGCCACCAGACAACACGTCTTTTATTAGCCCAGGAATGTATCTTTAATAAACTGGAGCTCTTCGGCTCGGCGGAGGGGCTGGAGGTCCCTTTTGGCCTGGCTGTGGGGTCTGCAGCAGGGCAGCGCACCCCTGCCCGTGGCTGCAAGCTAGGGGAGGGCTTTGTGCTGCTACAGGCAGGGCTCACCCTCTGCAGAGACAAGTTTTGGGGACGCAGCGGCAACCTGACAGCAGCAGGAGAGGCACAGAACGTGGCAGGCTGTGGCCAAAGGCAGCCCCGGGCAGGGTTTGTGCTCGTGGTGAGCATGGAGATCGTGGTGCCAGCGGCCTCGTGGTCCCCGATGTGGCTGGGAGCACCTGCAGGGAGCAGCAGCCCAGCAGCACGGGTGTGTGCCACTGCCCGGAGAAATCCCTCGCTGGGGGTTTGGGGAAAAAAATGGAAAGAACAGGTCAGGAAGTCCTGCCACAATGCCGTGGCCATGCAGCTGCCAGGTCACGCCTGCTTGTTGGACTCGAGCTCTCTCCAAACCCTACAAAAGCTTTTCCTTTGAGCCCCAACCCCAGGCTGAGCAGCACGCTGGGACCCCCACCCTACAGAAAACCTCAGGGGACAGCAAGGGGGTCCCTGTGTGAGCGGTTTGCTGCTGGCCAGCCCTGGATTTCAGCACCTCCTTGGGCATCTCACAGCATCTCTTCCCCCCAGTCCTACCCAAACCCACCCGTGTCCCTGCAAGCCGAGGGGCTGGCAGCACACCACCCCCTCTGCTGCTTTCTTTAGAGCTTTAAGTGCGGTTAAAGTCAGCATGACAAATGAGGGAGTCCATTTTGCAGCCTTAATTATCTCTCCCATCGTTAGTGTATGCCTCTGCGTTTGCACAACCTGGGTTTTGGGGTGTTTTCCATGAAAATAATTTTTTTTCTCCAACTCCAAAGCCATGTTTTTCATCCTCCTCACCAGAGTCCGTGGATATCCCCATGCACGAAAGCACCACCCCGCATAATTCAGCAGGTCTGGGGGGTTTTATTCACGTTTTTTTCTTCTCCCCACTTAAAGCAGCACCGGAGGAAATGTGATGCCGAGCAGTTGCTCCAGCAAGTAACAAATCTCCCGTATTGTTCCCTCTCCTTTATTTATCCTGAGCGCACTGTAGCAAGGCAGCCTGAAAAAGTGCGTTGTTTTCAGAGGCATGCAGCCCTGAAAATGGATGTTTGCTTTAATCAATCTCGGAGGAGCCCGTGGGGGCCGGCAGAGGTGCGGCGCTGGAGATTTGTTCTATTGATTAACCGAGCGCCGAGATGGGAGGCATCAAACACTCCGAGTGGATAAAAGCCTGCTAGGTGAATAGGGCTATTGTCGGGTTTGGTTTGCAGGTTATTGGGTTTGGGGGATTTTATTTTTCTTTTCCTACCTGCGGGGCCGAGAGCGAGCCGAATAACTTTGCTAATATTCCTCCCCGCTTCCCCTTTTCAACTTCCCCGGGAAAGGCACCGCGCCGCAGAGACCCCCCCCTCTGCGTGCCAGCCCGAAGTGAGATTTCACATTATTGCATCTGACAGCTCTCATTCCTCAGGCGCTTTCTCTTCCCTTCCTCAGAGAAGGAGTAAAAAAAAAAAAAAAAAAATCAAAACAAAAAAAAATCAAAGGTTTCAAAATGTGAGCACCTTCTGAGGCTGCAAAGCGCAGCGCCTCCTCGGGGGGGGCTGCTCAGACTTGGGGAGCAGGAGGGGGGAGCGACAGGAGGAGAGGTACAGGGATTTGCCATTGCATTTGCCTTGGGCCCTCGGAAAATGTTTGCAGTTTTCAATTAATCTCATTAGTTCGGAAGGAGGTGGAGGGGCGGGGAGGCGGGGAGGAGAGGCGGGAAATAAAAATAATTTCACGGGGAATTCTCTTCAATGACTTTTGCAAAACACGTAATTGAAAGCGGTGCTCGTGGGGAATGCTTCAGGAGCGCCGAGGCCGGCGGCGGGGGAGCAGCGAGGGATGCTGACCAAGAAGCAAAGGGGAGCTCTCGGTGCCAGACCCCTTGGTGACAGCCTCCCCACCACGGTGACACTGGATGGGGTACGGGGTGGCCTGGCTGAGGACAAACTCCAGCCCCCACATCCCCAGAGGGACAGACAGAAGAGGGACGGAGCTTGCCCTGCACTCAGGGCACCCAAAGCTCGCTGCCTCGCATGAACAAGCCCAGTACTGCTCCTGCCTGATGGGGAGGAGACCCTGCAGCATCACCGGGGCATGGGCCACAGGAGCTGCCAAATTCACTGCATCCTAATGAACTGCACGCTCACCAGACAGGGAAAACTGCTCAGCCAGGGGCAGCACTTGCTTGGTTTTAAGGCTCCATCAGCACAGCCTGCAGGTGCTTGCCCGGCATCCCTCTGCACCCACGTGCTTTGCTTTCTGCTGCTCCTTGCCCTGTCGCCTGGTCAGTACCCAGGTATCAGCACTGCTCCTTCCCACAGGGCATTCCCTCGTGCCCTGGTACCAAAATACTCCCAGCTCCTAGGGCTTACCCTGACCACTGCCCGCCTGCTGAGTGCCACCAGACTTCCTGCATTTTGTCCCGTGCTGTGCCAGATGCTAAAAGCTGCCAAAACCGCGTGGGTTTCTGCAGCACGTCCCCAGCCGTGCCGGGCATTGGTGCAAGCCTGCACCGGCTGCACCTCCATGAAGAGCCCATTGCAGGGACCCCCAGCAGCCTCCACCAGCCCTTGTGTACCCCAACCTGCCCTCGTGCACCCCAACCTGCCCCGTGCTCCAAATCTGCCCCATTCACCCCAATCTGCTCTGTGCACCCCAGCGCTGCACGGCCGCCCCTTCCCCTCCGCCTCACCGGCAGGGCTGTGCCCTCCGCTCCAGCCCCCAGGCTGAGCACTTAATTGATCGGATTATCCCTTATTTACTAATTAGCAGCCTTGTACTCAGACGGCAGGAGCGGGGGCCAGCAGCGCTTTCCCTTTGTACCTAAGCAGTTGGTGTTTGCCGGCTGCGGAGGCTCGGTGAGCAATTTGCTGTGATTCATTTCTGCCGTGGAAAGCTGATACTTGGCACGGCGCTCGCCTGGGAACAAAGCAACGCAGATGCATTGCCCGTAGCCACCGGGAAGAGGCAACGCCAGCCTCTGCCCACCTTTTGCCTTGCCTTATTTTATTCCTTCTTCTGCACCGCGGTTTGGTTTGCTGGGTTTAATGAGTTCGGTAATTGCCGGCGGGGGTAAGGTCTGCTGCTCCGTGGAGGTCGCACGGATATGGGTCTAATAGAGAGGGTATTATTGAAGAGGAGGGACATGAGTCCAACACCCTGAAAACCAGGCTTTTGTCCCAAAGGCACCTCTGCCCTTCACTGAGGGGCAGAAAAGAGCAGATTAGGACAGAAATCTCCATCCTCTGCAGCAGAACCCATGAGGTCAGCAGGACTGGCCCCAGGGTGTAAGATGCTAAAACAACAGAGCCAAAGGAAAAGCATTGAGGGTGTGTTGGCAGGCTGGATAATCAGATAACTGGGCAGGAAGGACACTCGAATCCACTGGTGATCCATTAGAAGGCCCCGCAAGGAAATGGGGATCTCGCTTCCGAGCCAGAGAGCACACCTTCCGAATTAATAGCAGCCCAAAACCTTGTGTGCATCCCTTCGAGGCATCCCAGGGGCATGGACAAATGCTGCCAGAAGCCAGCTACAAGGAAACCAAAGCCTGCCATAGGAGAATATCCCCAAACACGCGGCCGTGGGTGCTGTGTGCTGCTGGTTACGGAGGGCAGGGGCAGGGTGCTGGGGCTGCGGGGTGCCCGGCCACCAACACTCGCTCTGTCTTTGTGTGCTGCCAATGGATCGATTGTGTGCAGGGAGCTCTGCTTCGCCTATGTAGGTCAGGCAGACAGAGCTGGCCCCACGGCTGCCACGACGTTGTTAAAATGAACAAGGGTCCCCCTTTCTCCCCCCGTCCGACCCCCCTGATGCCCTGCCCTTGGCAGAGGGCAGCCTTGGCTCCCTTCCTAGAGGATCCAAGGCGGTTTTTGAGGCTTTGGGCTCGTTTGAGCCCAGCCAGCACATTTGCAGCTCCTGGGCCAGCGCAGACATTTTGCCCCGCGCATCGCCCTGAGCAATGCTCCCCCTGTTTGTCTTTGCACGAGGAGAGCTCCGTGCTGGGAGGGGAATGGGCAGCGTGACCCAATTCACAGGCTCTCCGCCGGTACGGCTGGCATCGCTCCCTCTCAGCTTCGTGATCTGGAAAGGGCTGAACCAGCTCCCGGAGAAGGGGGATTTCTCAGCACTTCAGCATCCCCCAGCAGCCCTGGGGGAGGGAGATTTCCCACACTGGGCTGTTCCCCTGCTCATCTCTGCATGGGAGGGGAGCAGATAAGAGAGCGACTTCCTAACCCTCGACCTTGGGAGCCTCTGGGTTTGGCCACGCATCTCTGCTTCCCTCCAGAAGTTTTCATGACTCAAGGAGGAAACCGAAATCCTCGGGAAACTTGGACTCCCCCAGGGCTTGCAAGCAGAGCAAAAGGGGGAAAGGGAGAAAGCAGAGAAGAAACTTTCTCAAATAAAAGAGACTCGGTAGTTTAGAGCAAACTTTGCACTAGCCAAAGACTTGACCTTGTGTTCTCTCCTAGGAACAAACAAGAGAAGAGTGTGGATCGCATTATTTTGCCTGAAATTTGGAGTGGATCAACCCCCTGCTGTTCCTAGCTCCTGAAGTGAGTGGCTATAAACAACACGCATTTCCCGAGGATGAATTAAACAGCGAGCCTGAGTACTGACTGTATTTTAAGAGATGTTTATTTGTCCTCGCTGCTGCTCTACAAAGAGTTGCACAAGGGCTTATTAAATTTTAACCCCACATTGTTCCTGGGTAAACACTGCCCTTCACCCAGCGTGCCGAGTGCTCGCAGCCCCAACAAGCAGCCGCTCACCAGAGCCCCCAGCGTGCAGGATCCCAGCACCACGGTCCTGAGCCACCGGCACCACGCACGGCCCCGTGCTGCCCCTGCTGGGGCTCGGAGGGCTGCTGGAGGCTTTTCTTTGGGTGCTGGGGAAGGCTGCTGCCCGGCTGTGGTTTCTGTCACTGGGGCAGCCAGCTCGTTTCGTCTTTCCTACAGACATCCAGAGGTTTTTCTGCACCTTTCTGCCAAAAAAATCGCTTTGTGAGAAGGTGGGGAAGACCTCGGTTTGCAGAAGGGTAGCCAAGCCAGCAATGTACATCTGGGCTCCTCTCCTCCTCTTTTCAGAGCATGGAAAGGGAAAGGGTGAGAAACTGGGACCGCTGGCCAAGGAGCTTGTTGCAGCTCCCCAGGATGCCAAGCCCTGGGGGCTGCCTTGTCCCGAGGTCCTCCTGCCCCAGCTCCCACCCCCAGCACCCTGAGGAGCCGGCACGCTGGACACGTGTGCCGTGGTCCGTCCCTCACGTCCCCTTCCTGCAGGCAGCATGGAGAGCTTCCAGCCCCCAAATTGGCTCTGCGGCATGCCCAGCATCGTTGGCGAACACAGCAAAAGGCTGAGGGGATTAGTGCTGAATGCTCGGGCTCCCCCCTCTCTGCAGCAGCTCTCGCCCTGCCTGCCCCGGTACCGTGGAGCTGGGCAAGCACCACGGAGCTGCCCGGTGCACCAGTGGTGAAACCCATCAGCAACAAAACAAGAGGCACAGCCCAGAGTTCTGCATTGCTGGGGGAAAAATATGGTTTTGCTGTTCACAAGGGCAAAGCGATGAGCATGAAAACAAACCCCAGCATGAAATCCAGGCCAGCTCTTCCTGCACTGCTGAGGACCCCAAGAAGCCATCACCTCCCCGTTTTTGGGGTGCTTTTGGGGGTGTTTCCCCTGCCAGGGGCTGTGGGATGGGGACACGCAGCCACAAGAAGCGAGATGCTGAGCAGGGTTCTCCAAAAAGAAGGCTCCGTGCCTTGCAGAAACATTTTTGAACTCATGTTTGTTCCCTCTCCTGGGTCTGGGCAGAATGTCAAAGCCTGCTCTGAGCTGGAAATATTTTAAGACTAGCACTCACTGGAGACTGAAACAATGGCAATTCTTTAGCTACTGAGGCTTTTATAAAAGGGCTTTTGACACAGAGGCTGCTTAGGGGTTTTTTTCGGTGTCGGTTTTTCTCCCGGAAAGCACGGTGCTCGTGCCCGTGCGTCTGTTTGTGCGCACACTTCTGCGTGTGCAAAGCCCCCTCTTGGCTCCCAGCTGTGCTTTTGGTGCGCAAGCCCTCGGGGATGCCCGCGGCGCTGCTCGGGCGCAGCCAGCTCCGGCGAGGAGGGAGGAGATGCCGATCGCACGGGATGCCATGCAGCGATGCAGGAAGAAGACATTTTCGAGTAAATGTCAGCTTTTGCGTTTCTGGGTTTGGGGCTTTTTTTAAACACGTGGGTGGGACTTTTAATGCCCACATGAAGCCGAGATGGTTTCAGTCTCCGGGGCTTATCCAGAAGATTCACACAAACACTATGGAAAGTGTCTCTTTGCTTAGGAGGATGAAATTTGACACTGCGGAGATTTTAGCCCGGTATTCCAGCCAGGAGCCTCGGTGGTTAGTGTGTCATATCTGATAAAGGCTAATCAGCCCTCCTTCAGGCACCATTCAATTCTTATTTTCATCTGCCTCCCGTGCGTGTTGCGTTC